CCCTGCAGGCCCGGATGCTTTCCCAACCTTAGCGAACGTCTGGTGCTCTGTGGGCAGGAACAGAGCCACCTGGCCAACCTCAGTGCTGCCACGTGCCAGGCCAGGGACAAGAGAACCTCTCTTCTGGCAGGGAGGATGCCTGGCCCATATGCAGTCCCCGACTCTGTGGTCAGTGAGGGCAGTGCTCCCAGCTTCACACTTTGGATTTGTGTTCCCAGACAGCGGCCTGAGGTAGAGCTCTCCTTCGAGGAGGCAGAACGGAGAGCTTTGCTCCTGAAGAAGTGGTCCCTGTACAAGCAGCGAGAGCATGAGATGGAGAGGGAAGCCATCAAGTCCATGCTTGAGGCCCAGCAGGAAGCTCTGCAGGAGCTACAACTCACATCCCAGGAACTCTATGCGGAGGCCATCAAGCGGGACTACAGTTTGTTTCCCTTTGAGAGAGAAGGGCCAGCTTACACACCACCAATATCCAACTATCAGCCCCCTGAAGGCAGGTACCATGACATCACCAAGGTGTACACACAGGTGGAGTTCAAGAGGTAGAACTGCAGGCAGCTGTCTGAACGCACTGCCCTTGAAAGCCAGAATGACCAGAGCTTGCTAGAGCCCGCTTGTCACGGAATTAGGCATGCTGAGAATAAATGTGAGTTTAATCAAGAAAAAAAAAAGAGAACCTCTCTTCCCCAGCCGCTAGAGGCCTAGGGTCTCCAAGGGATCAGGATCTCCAGACAGGCACCCCACCCTGTGATAGAGGGGTGTAGCCTTTCCCCAGTCGTCTTCCCTCTCCCCCACCCCTCCAGCTATTTTTAGATCTATGGGAGGGGAAAGGAGGGATTGCTGGGTTTAATCCCTTAGGAAAACCCAGGACCCATGTGAATGGCTCCCAGGCCTTGCTGAGAGGCCACCATCTGGAGCCCAAGGAGGCTGGATGTGCTGCTGCGCTTGCACAAACACACACACACACACACACACACACACACACGCAGCTCACTGGCCCTAATCTAAAGGGATCTTCCGGGTTTCTAGCTGTCCCACACTAGTCCCTTGGGTGAGTCCCAGGCCTGGTCAGATGTCAACTACCCTATCACCACCACCCCTAAGCCTTGTCCTGTGCATCTAGCTGTGAAGCCCAGGACCAAAGAACTCTTTCTCTCCGGACATCAGTCCTGACCCCTTTCCATAGCCAGCCCTTGCTTTGCTGAGACTCAGGTTTCTGGGAATTTTTGTAAGGCCTTTCTCCCACCCCAGTGTCAATCTGCCAGGCTCTGTATCTTGGGGCAGCCAAAGCAAAAGCCTGTGGGAACATGTGTTGGTGAGGATGTGGAGAAATTGGAAGCCCATGCATTGCTGGAGGGAGTAAAAAATGATACAGCTGCTGTAAAAAAAAAAAGAAAAAAAGGGGGGGGAATGGCGATTCCTCAAAAAATTACACATTGAATTAAAATATGGTCCAGCAGTTCCATTTATGGGTGTATACTCAAAAGAACTGAAAGCAGAAACTCAAATTTTGCACATACAAGTTCCCAACAGCATTGTTCACAATAGCCAAAAGGTGAAAGCAACCCAAGTGCCCGTCGACATATGAATGGATTAAAAATGTGGCCCATGCACACATACAATGGAATAGAATTTCCTTTAAAACAGAATGGAATTCTGATAGATGTTACAACATGAACCTTGAAAATATTATGCTAAGAGACATAAGCCAGACACAAAAGGACAAATATTTACATGATTTCACCTGTACATCATAACTAGAATAGTCACATTCATAGAGATATCCCAGAAAATACAATAGCGGTTACCAAGGCTGAGAGGGGGTGGGGGGAGATAGGGAAGGAGGAGTTAGTGTCTCATGGGACAGAATTTCACTTTGGGAAGATGAAAAGGTTCTGGAGATGGATGGTGGTGATGGTTGCACAACAATGTGAATATACTTAGTGCCACTGAATTGTACACTTTAAGATGGTTAAAATGGCAAATGTTATGGTATGTATATTTTATCACAAGTTTTAAAATGCTAAAGATTTCACTGGGGCAGGGCCCAGGACCTAGGCATGCTTATCTCTCCGGGGTTCCTACTACCCACTGCAGGGGAGGGAAGAGCCTAGGATTTGGAGTCAAAGATTCATTTACATTCCATATTCCCAAGCTGTGTGCCCCTGGGAAAGTCACTTAACCTCTCTGTAAAGCGGGAAAATAAACTCTACCGAGCAGGGTCACCATGAGACACAACTTAGCTAAAGCATCTCTAGGCTCAGCCTGGGGCCTGGCAGTCGGGGCGTGTCCTCTGAGTGCAGCCCAGTGTGAAATCTGGGGCTGAGAGCATTTGCTTCGCAGCTCTGTCCCCAGTGTGTCCCTGGCGTGTGCAGAAAATAGCTCTGAGGGTAGCTGTTTGTGACGGCCACTTCCACCAGCCTCGATTTCCCCCTGTGCAATGAGTCACCCTCTTTTGCAGGGCTGTTGTGAGAAAGTGCACTTGACATGCACCCTGGTCTACTTTGCCCGTAAGGCTAAACGCTAAGGACTGCATCCCCGGCTGACCGAGACCTGCCATGCATGTCACCCTGACCTCCTTCCCTTAGCTGGGCAGAGCTCAACATTCCATACAGCCAAGAGTTCTTGAGTGCCCACCGTGTGCCAGGCTGTGTCCCAGGACCAGAGAATACCGAGGGTGGGTAGAGGACTAGATCATTGAGCCCCTGGGGAAAGTGGAGGTCAGGGGGCAGCGAGGCCCCCGGGGAAGTAAGGCCCCCCGAGAAGCGTGTATCTAGTTCCACGATGTAGCAGCAACGAACTTGGCTCTATTTGTTACCTGTGCCCGACTCCCCAGCCACCAACCCCTCCGGGCCTCGAATCAGGTCCCTGTAAGTCCGGGGACAGTGCTTGCGGTAGAGGTTTTCCACCAGCGTGTTGCTGCCTCTCACCACACCCTTCCCTTCCTGGTTCATGTAGTTCCACAGGTGCAGGGCGTAGGAGTCATTGAAGCTCGGCTCTGGGCTCCACACTTCATAGTAGCGCCTCCACTCAGGGTAGGAGATGGGGTAAAACCTTTGGGGGTGTAGAAAGGACACGTTCAAACACCGGAGGTCGCTCAACTCCTGGAAGTCCTCCAGCTTGCACCACACTCTCAGCATCCTCGTCATCAGGTCGGGACCCTGGTTGCCCCAGATGTATGAGTTGTAGTGCTCCACGAAGTTCTCCATGCACTGCCACAGGAAAGGCGTGGCGGGGGGAGGAAACCCAAACACCCCGTTTACTGGAGTACCGGGAAGCCTGCGCGGGCCAGAAAGTTTCTTCAGGGATGGGCCTGATGGAGATGACATCCGTGTCCATGTAGACGCCCCCGTACTTCCAGATGATGGCCAGGCGGGACGCATCTGAGCTGACGTGGAGCCAGTTTCTCTCTGCACTGGCGTTGATCTGCAGGAGCAGGGTGCAAATCAGCCCCAGCGGAGGGAGGGGGAGGGGGGGTTACAGCAGGAGGCCAGGCAAAATTGGGCTTTTGGCAAATAGATATTTGGGAAGCTGGCCTGCTGTCCCTCCCCAGCTGCCCTGGCACATTGGGTCATCCCTAATAACTGGCCCCAGCTATCCTGAGGTGGGTCTAACTGGGCCAGAACAAACCACACCAGCCCCCCACCACCACCACCACCACCACCACCACCACCAAGGGTCACTAGACACTAGCCCTGGTGTATGACTAGTACTAGTTTGTGAAAAATGAATGTAGCATCTCCCAAAACAATTTAAGCAGAGATTTCTCTTCCCAAGGAACAAAACACCGTTTGAGTAATGTTAGTTGAGCCCAGGTGTGGGGAGGCGAGGACCAGAGCCAGCAGGCTGCCTGGTCTTGTACAGTCCTGGAGCGCCCTCTAGCGGCAGAGCACTGAGAGCCGCAGGGACCCAGCCTGCATGTGCCCTTCCCCTGGTCCCTCTCCACTCCCAGCCCCTGCCCAGCGCCTGCCCTGCCGCTGCCCAGGGCGACGCTAGTCGTCACCTATTTGTTAGAAACCCTGTGCTGGCAACTGCAGATGACACCTCAGTCTGGTGGGTCGCTCCGCCTCCTGCTCACGGCTCCAAGTTGAGATTTCCTGGCTCTTCAGGGGGAGAGATGGGAGCGCTGGGATCTACTAGTAAAGTCACATGGGGCAAGAGTGAAACTGACCAACTCCCTTTACCCCTTCCTCCCCCTACACACACACACACACACACACACACACACACTCAGGCCTGTCGCTTAGTCTACAAATCTCTCTAGCTGACAACAACCAGGGGCAGGTGTGTCCTTCACTCAGGAAATCCACCCAGGAAAGCCCCAGGAATGAGGCAGGTGGCAGTTTTCCTCTTTTGTGAACGAGCACTGTAGTGGCTGAATAAGATATCGGGTCCTAAGCCCTGGAACCTATAGCTGTTACCTCATGGAGAAAGGGGTCTTTGCAGATGTGATACATTGAGGATGTTGAGATGGAGAGATTATCCTGGAATATCCTGATGGATCCTAAATGCAATCATAAGCGTCCTTTATAGTAAGGTTGATGGAGAGTTCACACACACACACACACACACACACAGGAAAGGGGAAGTGAAGATGGGGGTAGAGTCTGGAGTGACCAGCTCCACAGGAAGGAGTGTTTTCTAGAGCCCCCCACACCCATGGGGGAATGGGCCCTGCCAGCACCTTGATACCCACCAGTGATACTGGTTTGGGATCTCTGGCCTCCACAACTGTTCTGTTCTCTTAAGTCACCAAGTGTGTAGCATTTTATTACACAGCCTTAGGAAACCAACACAAGTACCCTCACAAATGGCCTCAATCCTGCCTCTTGGCCTGCAAAACCTAAAGTACTGACTTTCTGGCCCTTTAAGGAGAAAACACTTTCTGACATTTGGTCTAGCAGCCTATGATTAGAGCTTAGATAGGACTTTATATAGTAAACAAGTGTTATTATTTTATGTCATATTTTAGTAACTTTTTAAAAAATGATTTTATAAAATTAACATATTCTCATCACTGAATTCACTCCCAATTCATATTAAAACACCTACCATTACTGTGTGTGTTGTTTTTTTCTTCAGGTCTTTTTCTTTCAAATAGATTGGGGGAGGGGAGTTGTATAGCTAAAATAATCTTACATTATAATGCAAGAGTATTTAATTCCATGTTGTAGTCTTCATAAGGTGGCACAGTTTAAAGCTCCATAATGGAATCATTGGATGGTTCTAAGTTCCTTAAACATTACTTGATTGTGGGTCCTCATGAGAGAAACACTTAATTGAAATATTTTCTTATTCTGCTATTTTACTAAGATGAAGATTACAAAATTCTGAGATTTCCAGGAGTTTCTTGATCACCTATATAATAAAAGCCTAATATGCAAATCGACCAAATAGCAGAACGACCAGTCACTATGATGCACACTGACCACCAGGGGGCAGATGCTCAATGCAGGAGCTGCCTCCAGCCTGCAGGCCCCAGGCCAGCCAAGGTGGGTACCAGTGGGGGCCCCAATCACCCCGCCAGTCGCCCCACAGAGAGAGGTGACCAGCGGCAGCAGCAGGGGGTGGGGCCGGCAAGTGGGCGGCACCAGGCCGGCCAAGGTGGGTACCAGCGGGGGCCCCCCCCGATCGCCCCACCGGTCACCTCACAGATCAGCCCTGATCACCGGCCAGGCCTAGGGACCCTACCCATGCACAAATTTCATGCACTGGGCCTCTAGAATCTTAATATAACCCAATCTTATACAACAGCACCCCACCTGATCTATTGTGAATTTTCTACTTACATAATTTTCAAGTGAAATCTTGCCTAGTTTCCCCTTAAGGTGCAAACATAGTTTAACATGGATGGGTTTAAAACTGGCAGGGAAAAATAAGGAGTATACACAGCTAGAAAAAATACAGAAACTCATTCCGTTAAGAATAGTCTCAAACGGAACCTAGATACTAAGATAGAAAGCTAAAAACAAAAGACAACAGGAAAAGGTAAGTAACTTATGGTTTCTCCCAATTACTTGAATCAGAGCTCAACCCAGGCAAGAGTTAAAGGATCTGCCCAACTGGTGTGGTGCAGTGGTTGAATCAGGAGGTCGCAGTTCCATTCCGGGCAGAGCACATGCCTGGGTTGTGGGCTCAATCCCCAGTAGGAGGCATGCAGGAGGCAGATGATCAATGATCCTCTCTCATCATTGAAGTCTCTCTCTCTCTCTCTCTCTCTCTCTCTCTCTCTCTCTCTCTCCCCCTCTTCTTCTCTCTAAAAATCAATAAAAACATATTTAAAAAAAAATAAGAGTTAAAGGCTCTGGGTTCTAGTCCTGTCTCTCACACTGAGTCCTTACCCTCAGTTTACCCATCTATAAAATGGGTAGGTTGTCTGTGGTCCCTCCCAACATGGGCATTCTAAGATTCTCTGAACACTTACTTGAGTGTACCATGAAGACAACGGAGTGTCTTCAAACAGGCTTTTCATATCCAAAGGGATGAGGAAAACGTTGTCTATTGCTGAGAGGAGGGAAAAGGCTGGGTACGTGGAGTTTGGGGGCAACTGCATGGAGCTGTTGAGACCCTTCATGAAGAACACCACCGGCTGCTCGGGATAAACCTTGGCAGCGGACTCCACAGCGCAGGAGACCAGCGGGGACGGCTCCGTCCTCTCAGAGGTCTCTAGGAACACAATGCTGCGTCCCTTGCCCAGAAGGGCTTCCGGCCCCTGCTGGGACTTGTGGGGGGGCAGGCAGGAGAAGAGGCAGCTGGACTTCAGGGTGAGCTGGTAGAGGAAGCCACAGGAGAGCAGCAGGATGACCAACAGGGAGAGCTGGAGCTCCTTCAGCATGTCCACGTCTCCCTTCTGGCCGCTCCTTTAAGTCAACATAATTCATTAAAAATCACATCCACAAAACCGGGTAAAGATAGCACACGCAAAAACAATAAAAGAGTATCACTTCTAAGCTTAAATCCCAAATGAAATATAAACAAATCAAGTCATGCAATATTCAAAAGAAAAATGTATTAACTGGAGTTTAACTGAGAAATTTAGGGTGATTCAAAATAAGGGGAAATCATTCATTAACAGAAAAACTATTAATCACATGCACTAGCTTATAGATTAAAGAAGAAAAGCTGCATGATCATTTTGGTGAATAGATGCCAAGAACAGGATACAAGTCTGTTCAACAGAAGGCGTGCAGGAGGCAGCCGATCAATGATCCTCTGCTAAGTCTAACCAAGGCAATAAAACAAGAGAAAAGAATGTCTGCTATGAATTCTAGAAAGGATGAGGCAACGACATCACTAGTTGTAGAAAATATGATTGCCCACCTAAAATATTCAAGATAATTTACTAAGAACCTAATAGAACTAAGAAGAAAATTAACCAGGGAAGCAAACTGAAGTCTAGGGTTAAAGAATTTGCCAAGATCACACAGTTAGCAGACCCATGCCTCTACCTTGGGCTTGCCTGTTCCTGTAGGACCCCCTTCTCCATAAACATTAGCTCTAACTCCAGGAGAGCAAAGATTTCACTTTTTCGATGGTCTATTTTTCACATTCCATATGACTCTTTCAGAAAACACAAAGCCAATGAATCAGAGCTTACCTTCTAGCCTGAAACTTGCCGTTAGCCACTGTCTGAAGTCTTAGCAATGACCACAAGTTTTCCTGCTATACTCTTTGATAAATCACCACCTAATCTTCCAACTCAACAACTCAGGGAAGTAAATCATTGGCCGAAGATTAACACGAAACACAAGTTCTCAGAAAGCTCCTCCCTTTAGTAAGTTCCCCCAAACACAGAGACTTGGGGACAATAAAGGGTTTGCACAATTTTTCAGGTGACCCACACACTAATCCTGCCTATTTGTGGATTTATCAAGGGGTGGGGGGCAGTTATAGGGTGATGACTTCATCTGGAGAAAGCTGAATATAACCCTGAAGCTAAAAGATATTGCACCTAAGCAGTTCAGTTTCCATCCAAATCATGAGCAGAGCCTTGGGAAAGTTTCATCACCAGACGACCCTGTAGTTTGGGCCAAACTTTGCAAACACAGATTTGAGTAAAAGAAAAGAAAGTCCATCACCACCAATAAGCAGTGGACAGCACTGGGAATCCAAGGTCCTGATGATTTGGAACCAGAATTTATTAGCCAATTTCAGTTACAGTGGCTTCAGGAAGGATCCTTTGCCCTGAGGCCCCCCTGTGAGGTATAGCTTCCTCCAAGCTTCACAAGGTCAGGTTCATCACCCTCCACTGACGTGGCAACCCCCACATCTCCAAAGATAGTGTCGCTCTCCTGTGGTCTGAGCACCAATGCTCCTGACATGAGTAGGTAGTTATCCTCAGTGAAACCATCCTCACTCAGGGAGTCACCTATCTTCAACTCAGAGCCTTCTCTCAGCCATGAGCAGGTACCCACAGTTCCCCCTGGATGCTCTGGTGTGAACTGGGAGGTCCCCTCCTGAGCAGACATTGGATCTGGACATAGCAGGTCCTGCATCAGGGGAGGTAAAGCTCTCCACTCATCAATAGCTTCTTGTTCTTTAGCACTTTTCAGGAACAGCTCTTTGAGTCTGCACACACATCTTTTCCCTTTGGAGCTGAATTTCTTCTCTGGACCTCATCAACTCTAGGCTCAGGGTAACTTGGCATCTTTCCAAAGTCCCCTGGCATTGGATGGATAGGTTGTTTTTCCTTCTGGAGGGGAGGGGAGAGCCGAGCTCCTGCTCCCCGCTCTGGCATAATTAGTGGGATCCCTTTGTAGAGTGATACATGCCTAGCACCTGCATTTCTGGTGGGTCAGGTATCCAGTGCCTACCAAACATCTGCACAATGGCCAAGAGTCTTTGAAGAAGTGGTGAAGGCAGAGGTCAGTCAAGTAGTTGGTGGTCTTTGTCACAGGGGTGAAGGTGAGCATTAGTGATACAGTGAAATCCTAAACACGGAAAGTAGGACCTATCTGACCAAGAACCAAGTAGAGGGTATGATGGAAAGAACACTGAGCTTAGAATCATGCCTCCACCCACCATAGGCTGAGGGCACCAGGGCAAGTCCCAAAACTGCTCAGAGCCTCAGATCCTTTGTTCAGGGTGAGAAATAACTGACCTCAGGCACGTTGTGAGGGTGAAGGACTCTGTAAACCGAAGAAGCAACTCTCACTTTTGAAAAAAATATATTTTTATTAATTTCAGAGAGGAAGGGAGAGGTATAGATAGAAAGATCAATGATGAGAGAGAATCATTGATCAGCTGCCTCCTGCATGTCCCACACTGGGGATCGAGCCCACAACTCAGGTGTGTGCCTTGACGGGGAATCGAAACTTGACCTCCTGATTCATAGGTCGACATTCAACCACTGAGCCACACCAGCCAGGCCTGCAACTCTCACTTTTCATCAAGGAAATCAGGAGAAAATGGAACACTATTACTGTAGATGGTATTTGACTCCCTGATGACAAACATTAAGTTGTTGTTCTTTTCAGATGAGTGAAAATTATTTCCTTGGGGACCTTTAAGAAGGACTCCTGAGCCCTGTGTGGGAGTTGATGAGACGTGTACAGAAGCCAGCAGTCAGTCACCTTTACCTGGGGCCTTTGGGGATCACAGCCTGATGTCCTTCCTGAGTGTTTCTGAAGAGGCCTCCTGTCACCTGAGCCACTCTGCCAGGAACTCCCAGGGCCCCCAGATCATCCCTCAGCCTTCCCTCTGGTGGGAACAGAACTGCCTTCCCTTCCTTCTGCTCCCCTTTCTTCCTTATCTGGCCTGTATCACATGGACTTTCTGTCTGTGCGGGCAGATGCCACAGCTGCAGCTCCTAACCTGGACTCCACAGGTCCCTAGAGGTCCCAGGATGGGCTTTGGGGACCCTGGGGCCATACCCTGCACCAGTCCCTTTGCCCTGAGTGACACTGATGCACAGCTCCTACATATTCCCTGCCCGAAGGAATGTCCCTGCTCTTTGATGCTCCATGACAAGAACTCTGTTCAAATTTCCTCCAAATGTCTGCCCCACACAATGGCAGGCTTGCCCCAACCAGCCAAGCAACCCCAGGGAGAGAGATCTGAGTGAGATGTGCAATGGGTGGGTCTGGATAGGCTGGTGAAAGCCACATATGCATCCCGATGTCGTCTCCTTTCCTAAAAGCTTTGGCCTCCTGTGAGAGTTCCTGCTTCCTCCATCCCAATGTGAGCCAGACCTGGTCAATGCAGTGGACTGTGGAGCCTGGGAAATTGCTACTGACTGATGAGGCCTTAGCAACGGTGGAGTGATGTAGCCCCACCCAGGATGAGGGCAAAACCTCTGAATCCAGTGGGTTTTTGTTTTTTTACATTCAATATTATCCCAGTATTGCCTTTATTTTACAATACTCTTCTTTGGATGTTCGGAGCTAGTCTGAAGAAAAGTTGGTACAGGGAGGAAAACCTTGGAATCAGAGCTAAGATTTCCCCCAACCCTCCAGCCCCACGGATAACCTCTGATAAACTCAACTGGGAAAACTTCAAGGTTTGGGCCCACACTCCCTCGGCTATAAAGGACTCACTGTATCAAGAAGGAAGTTAAAGGAATTTTAACACGAAATGTTTGTTGAACTGAATTACACATGAAAAGTGCACCTCTTAATTCTGTAGCTTCTTTGAACTCTGATTTATTGTAAGAAGAAAATATTCGAGCCAACAATACTTGCCCTATTTACTTTGGAGCCCTTGGAACCACAGTTCCGGTTTTTAACATATTTGTTAATCAAGTGGGACTGATAAACTTGTTAAAACATTCAGCTATTAACAGTGCAAAACCAATACAGAGTGATATCTTATCAACATTGTCAATTTCTGCCTTGGCTGGGTAGTCAGATGGTTAGAGCATCCTCGAGATACGCCAAGGTTGTAGGTTTGATCCCCAGTCAGGGCACATACAAGAATCCACCAATGAATGCAGAAATAAGTAAAACAACAAATCCATGTTTCTCTCTCCCTGCCTCCCTTTTTCTCTCTCTCTAATCAATAAATTTTAATTTAAAAAAAATACATCGGCTCCTGGTTGGGGTGCATGCCTGGGTTGCGGGCTCCATCCCCAGTGGGGGGTGTGCAGGAGGCAGCCGATCTATGATTCTCTCTCATCATTGATGTTTCTCTCTTTCCCTCTCCCTTCCTCTGTGAAATCAATAAAGGTATATTTAAAAAACAAAAACAAAATTAACAAAAAAATAAAACCATCGCCAATTCCTTTCATCACTGTTCTGAAGCTGGAACGAAGACTAGAGACCTGGGTTTAGGTGCATGAACAGAGACAGTTCACTGCGGAGTGAGAGAGAATCCACAGCCTAACACTTGGGAACCCATGTGGGAATAACTGAAGGTTATGGACAAGTGACATTATCAACATTAAATTCTGAAAAACAATTTTTTTTTTATTGAAAATCTGTGAATTCATGCCAGCATAAAATCCCCTGGTCCCATGACAATATTTTAAACTGTTCTGCGTGTCTAATGGTTCTAGCCTTGCATTTCTGACAATAATGCTTTTGTTCTCCACTCAGCCTTACCAGTCAAACATGCTCCTGTGTACAAAACCTTGCATAGCGATCAGGAAGGTATTTCTGGGTTTGTTCTGGAAATTACTGTGCTCACACGTGTCATTTCCCCCCTTTTTAAGTTTACTTGCAGATAAAGGAAGGGATGGGGGCAAGGGCAGGGAGATAAGGGAAAACAGTTGTTCTCAGTGCAGCAGTTGTGCAGACACCACCCTTTCAGGCTGAAGAACAGGGTCTGCAAGATGCATACACTGAACAGTAGTTCCAGGAGGAGAGCGGAGGGCTGTGTGAACAAGCTTTGCTTTCAAGCTCTGTAAGTCAGTGTTTAGTCTCTTTGTTCTATAAGGAACTGGAAACATCTTAGAGCCACCTGTGCCATGTGTCCACATGGCAGGGAACTTTGTAAAAACTGAGTGGCTGTGAGAATGAGCAGTACCTGATGTGGCTGAAAGAAACTGTTGTGGACTGAATGTTTGTGCCCCCACCACCACCACCACCACCAAATTTGGGAGAATGAAGCCCTAACCCTCAAGGTAATGGTATTTGGAGGTGTGGCCTTTCTGAGGTCATTAGGTTTAGATGAGGTCACGAAGGGGGCATTCTTACAAGAGGGGAAAACAAAGATCTCTCTCTCCACAAGCATTCACCTCGGAAAGGCCAGGGGAGGACCCAGTAGGAAGGCAGCCATCTACAAACCAGGAAGAGAGTCCTCTCCAGGAACCCATCTTCACCTTGATCTTGGACTTCCCAGTTCCAGAACTGCGAGCAATAGGTGTCTGTTGATTAAGCTGTCTGTCTGCGGTATTTGTTATAGCAGTCCCAGCTAAGACAGAACCCCACTGTAACCTTCTTCTCTTTAACCTCCTTCCATGTGTTTTCAAGTTTGTGTTGAAAACAATGAAAGTGAGTAGTATCTGTCTTTAAAGTAAGGGTACTCAATCTAGTAAAGAGATGAAATTTTAATGTTTGTATATGAAATATACATGGGCCTAAAGGCAAAGTCAATTCTCTGTATAACTTCATTATTACAAAGTTAAGTCTTGAGTCAAAAAACCCAACTCTAAAAATATGGTCTTAAAAATCACATATCTGTATACAAGACAATAAACTGTCTCATGCTGCATCGTCATCATCCTCTGCAGCATAGATGGCTTGATTCCTCCTCTTAATTTTCTTTCTTTGTTCAGGTACAGACTCATCACTCAGCCTCTTCCCTGGTACTCTGGTTAAGTCCTTCCCATCTCCAGACTCCACAGCCTCGCCAGGTTTCCCCTCTCCGCTACCTGGGGAACCCGATGTATCATCAGAAGAGACAAACATGGAACCTGGCAGGATCCTGACATCAGAGAAGCTTGCAGAAAAGTCAGAGGCCAGGTCAGAAGAAGGTTCTAGGGATGTTGTATTCAGGTCACTTTGTGCACTTACAAAACTATCTTCCTCTTCCTCTTCCTCTTCTTCCTCTAACACTATTTCATCTGGATTAGTAGAGGACAGGGCAGAGGTGTCTGTGTTATATTCACTGGGCTCTTCTCCGGAGTCATTACTGCCCCCTTCCTCCTGCTCTTCATATTCACCACACAAGTGGTGTTCTTCCTTGGCCTTCTGAAGACTGACATTAATGTCTGTGATGCCAAGTTTGGCACAAAACTCAGTAGTCTGAGGGTTGATCCTGTGAACCAACTGCACTTGTGTCTGTGGCTTGCTTGGGTCATGACAAGCAGCCGTCACGCTAAAGTTAAATGGAACTTTGAGGTCATGATTCAATGTTTCCAATACTTCATTCATAGCTTCTTCTGTTGGACTATAATCCCACCTAAAAAAGTCCAAAACAATGGTCTTTTATACGTCACTGGCCCCAAACAACAAATTATGAAATCTAACTATGAACTTCAGGTACAAGGATAAAAAATAAACGATAATCTAAATTCCATTTAGTAAAATTACAGTTAATTTAACAAAGGACCATTTCAAAATAAAAACAATTCATAGGAAAAGCTGTCCGTACAACCTAAAGCAAGTATAAGTTGTTTTAATGTGAACCAAATCTCCACCATATTAGTTTTGTACACACTTAATCACTTATACACTTATTTAGGTTGGTACTCAACAATCCATTTTCTTGTAAACCATGAATTATTCTTACACTCATTTAACAGGGTTTGTTTTGGTTTTTTATTAAAAAAAGAGGGGGGGTGGACCACAAAAACCTTGCAAGCATAGTGAGCGCAAGTCCTAAATAAGGTCAGGCTTACCTTGTATGCAGGCCATTATTTTCAGGCATATTCCACAGGCGCGCAGTTACATTAATAAGATTGTTTGTAGCCCTGAGAATAGTGAGCCATTCAATATCATACTCCAAGTGATCAGGAGCACTGGGGTCATGATCTATTTCTATTACCTAAAGGAACAAATTGGTAATTTTAACAAATACATATCTATTTTTAATATCTAAGGATTTCAATGTAACAATAAAAGTTAAAAGGAATTTAATTTAGTAGACTAAAAATATTAATGTAAATATTCCCAAAGAATTCTCAGACTATATAAATTACAAAATACACAAATTAATAATTTAGAAAACAAAAATTAAGATGTTTTCTTAATCATTGGAAGAGTAAAACTATATTGAAAAGTTATTTCATTTTCTTCTTACCTGAAGAAAGTCTCTATGTGGTAAGCATTTGTCCAAGGCTAAAAATTTGGTTGCTTTGGCAGTCTCTCCTTCATCCTTGGCCTAAACCATGATTTAAGAAAGAATGTTAAAACATCACAGATAATTCATACATTGGATAGGATGGAAACAATCTTTGTTACACAAAGTTGTGTGTCAAAGGAACAACTGTTACTTTTTCAAAGCAAGTTAGTTCTACACTCACTTGTGCAACAACGGGCACTTAAACTCTCTGGCTTTCATGTCTTACATTCTTACACGAGTCAAAGTAGAAACTAATGGTGATGATAATGTTAAATCAAAGCATTGAACACATATATTAAGGCATATAGCAAAAGGATTAAAGATAACGAAGAGCTTAAAAATAAATTGGCAGAGTCAAAAGTACACAATTTTTAAAAGAAATCATAGAAGAAAAATCGTCACTACCTTGAGTCAGGGAAAGATTTCTTAGATACAACATCAAAGTTAGATGCGCTATATCCTTATAATGAAATACTATACTATTCAACAATAAAAATAAATAAAACACAGATAGATGCTATAACATAAGTGAACCTCAAAAACAAGCAAATAATAGAAGCCAGATACCAAAGACTATATATTTATGATTACATTTATATGAAAGGTTCAGAAAGGGCAAAGCCATAGAGACACAAAGCAGATTAGTGGTTGCCTGGGCTGAGGATGAGAACAAGGAATGACATCAAACACACACACAAAGGATCTTTTCAGATGATGGAAATATTCAAAAACCTGGATTATGTGATGTGTGCACACACACAAAAAAATCACTGAATTATACACTTGATTGAATTTTATGTAAATTATACACCAATAAAGCTTTTTGTTGTTAATGCTCACCCAAGGATATTTTTCCCATTGATTTTTAGAGAGTAGGAGGGAGGAAGGGAGGGGGAGGAGAGAGAAAAATATGGATGTGAGAGAGATACATCGACTGGTTGCTTCCTGCACTTGCCCGACCAGGGCCAAGGATTGAACCTGCAACCCTTCAGTGTGCAGACTGACGCTCTAACCACTGGACACCACTGTCCAGGGCACCAATAAAGCTATTTTTTGAAAAGTGAATTGTCAGACAGAAATATGGAAGGGGTCACTAACAAGGTCATAGTAAAAACAGTAAAAAAAAAAGTGACTCACTGAAAACAGTAAGGCACCCGGTGGAAAAAATACAAGGAAACAAGCTACGGGATGTCCTGCTGCGGACCAGGTATCAAACTTCAGTGCTGAAGAGGGACTCAGAGAGGTGGAAGGCACAGAGGGTACACAGATCTTGGCTGCAGGGCAGTTCTGAAGAAAGGTGATCTTTGGGGCTGCTGAAGGGGCTAAAAGAGAACACTGGCAAAGTCAGAGCAGGTTGAGGAGCCAAGAAAAAGGGATCGAATATGTTGTTACTACAGAGGTAAAAGTCCCTGGCTGACAGCAGAAGATGCAGTGGGGAAAAGTAGCAAATCAGATACTTCAATAAAAATCCAAGCGTGTCAGGAGCCCTAAGACACAGAAAAGAGTAACACAACTGGCGAGGCTCAATGGTTGAGCGTTGACCTATAACCAGGAGGTCACAGTTTGATTCCCAGGCAAGGCACATGCCCAGGTTGCGGGCTTGATCTCAAGTGGGGGACATACAGGAGGCAGCCAATCGAAGATTATCTCTCATCATTGATGTTTCTATATCCCTCTTCCTTCCTCTCTGAAATCAATAAAATTAAAAAAAATAAAAAAAGACAACTGATATAAAAACAGATGACTTGGACTTGGGAAAATGAAAGGAGCAACCTAGTCTCCTTGAGGAACACAGCTAAAGTGGACCTCTACCACTGAAAAGTGTTTGGTCAAGCAAGTTTGAGAAGCACTGTAAACCACATCCCACTCTTGGAGTAAGGCAATGCCCAGTAATCAGTAGGTTCAAGACTCAGAAATCCTATAGAAGCCTCCAAGAACTCCTAACTTTGTTAACCAAGCATCTTCTAAATGTTTTCCTTCTAAAACACTTTATGGGAAAGTCAGAGTTTAGTCTGAATTGGAGGTGAAAAAAAGAACCACATAGTTCCATAAAAACCTAATCATAGGTATGTATTTCTCTACCTTCTATCAAGCACTATACCATTCAATTACCCAAAGCAAACTTAGACTCATCCTAGATTCCCTCCTCCCTCCATCACCAAATCCTGATGATTCTACTTCCAAAATCTCTCTAGACTCTGCTTTATTCTCTGTGTTCCTTCTTTGCCTTAGGTTACCATCTCATCTTTTGCTTAAAGAACCTCCTGTGCCTCCTTTTTTATATCACTCCAATCCATCTGCAAAACTGTAGCGAAACTAATCTTTCAAAAATGAAAATCTGTATTTCATCACTCTCCAACTTTCCCCATTACCTCTGGTTAAAACCCAAACTCCAGAGCATGGCACTATGACCATGCCCCAGTGTCTATCCTCTGCCATGGGAACGAGCTGCAGTCCCCCAAAGGCACCCTGTTCTCAGCTTCTGGCCTTCGCACACATTGGTCCCTCTTCATAGATTACCCTCCTAATCTACTCTTTCCTGCACCATCAATTCCTTTGGAAAAGCTTCTCTTGCTTCATCTCTCTGTCCACATAGTCTGGCTTAGGTGCTCCCACAGTACCCTAGGACTTTTTGTCACAAACTTATTACACTATTTTATCATGGCTTGCTTACTTATCTCTTCCCCCCACTGGATTCTGGAAGTTATCTTTCATTTCTTTCTCTAACTTTACAACTGTTTCAACAGTGGGTAGCCCACTGATGTTCAATAAGTGTTTGTTAAATGGAAGAATAAATACTGTGTTTTCTACCTGATGCTGCATCAAGGCTGCAAACTTCACATGAAGGTGTGCGGAAAACCAGTAAGTTGGTTTTAAGTGCTCTAGGAGCTCTGAGGCAGCAGGACTTCCTAAGGTGTTATTTTCCACTTCTTGTCGGAAAAAAGATTTAGTCTTAAGAAGTTGCTTCTTATTTCCATAATGGTATATACTTCTTGGCCAATCATGAGACAAGAATATGTCCATAGGCTGCTTCAGCTTTAACAAAAAAAGAAAACTCTTAAAAACAGATTAACCACAAGCAAACTCCCTTCCTTCTCTCCCCTGACACATACCATTTACCCACTTAGATCTCTGGATTTTTGTGTAACTCATTCTAAGGCTCTTTATGTAAGGAAGTCACAGAAGTACTAACCTATTCACTCACATAGGCAAAAAGAAACAGCTTTCTCCCCGCCCCACAAATCATCCTTATTTTCCAGCAAGGCAGGTCAGCAGACACACTTTGATTAGACTGCCAATCAAGCTATGGTCTTTTACATTCAGTTTCTAAAATATGCAATAACCACTGTGCTTTTCCCTTTTTGGTAAAAAAAACCATGTTTTATGATCCAGAGACACCAGATTTCATAAGACATCTAATGTAAATGATACGGTAAACCTAAAGATATCGTCCACTTTTTTTCTAATGGACTCACATAGTATATACCAAAAATACTCTGTTTGCTACATAAGTCATATTAGAAGTATTTAAGGTGGCTGTTGTCTTCATGGGGAACACAAAATACACTCCATACTTTACTCATCCCACACTTGGAAAACTAAATGTAAATAACTTAAGTAAGTGTTCAAGATAATACAAACTATAAGAAAGAGATGACTGAATAACTGGTCTGGGCAATATGTGCAATGAAAATTCAGTCAAGCCCTGGACGGTGTGGCTCAGTTGGTTGGAAAGGTTACTGGTTCAATTCCCCATCAGGGAACAAATCTAGGTGGCAGGTTCGATCCCGGGTCAGGGCAAGTATAGGAGGCAACCGATTGATGTTTCTCTCTCTTTCACTCTTTAAAAAAAAAATCAGTAAACTATATCCTCGGGTGAGGATTAAAAATTTTTTTTCAGTGAAACATGATGACTTTAAACTAGAACACTAGTTGGGAAGTAGTATCTAACCTGGGTCTTCAAGGACTGGTAGGATTTAGACTGGTGAAAAGGAAAAAGCATTCAGAGTAAGGAACTGCTATGAGTAGGCACTGAATGCCTGCGAGCATCCTTATGCTCCCACAGAGGCTGTGTGCGATGGTGGGAAGGGCCTGAGTTCTCTCAGACAGGCTCTGCCACTTACCTACTTGGGAGATCTGGGCAGGTTGCTTATCTATCTGAGCCTTGGCCTCTCATTCTTAATCTGACAGAATTTGAGTGGCAATGATATGAAATATCTCGTGTGAAAACTGCTTAGCCCAGTGTCAGGCACTGAAATGGTTCTATAACAAAAACCTAGCTTCACCTATTCTCCAGCTGAGTCAGTGTTTTTAGACACCACTTTCACCGTTTTCCCATACCTTCTGTCATCTCTACTATTATTTATTTTCTATTTAATACCATTCTTTAAAAAAAATATTCTAATATTTTCTTTAAAGTATCACTTTATTTCAATATATTTTTAGCCTTACCATAATAATATCTGAAATCATGAGTTGAATGTTTTATTTTTACTCACTAAAATAAATTTATTACCATAAGATTTTTTTAATGTTCATCTGTGAACCTCCTAAAAACAACTCAAATCCAAATTTTAGAGATACTGAATTATGCTCTTCTTGGAAGTAATATACCAAAATGATCAAACACATTTTGGTACAGAATTACTTTAACATTTTTTTCAAGCCTGCCATATTGTACTTTTTACATACCTGTTTTAATTTATACACTTCAACATTTCTCACATGATATATACTCCTTATTGTAGCTGAATTATAAGGAGGGCACTCAAAATGACCTTAAATTGAAGGAGAGAAATAAGCTGTATTCAACACCTTTAAATACTGCAAATTATATAAATAGATACACATACTTCCCTAAAACTAGTGTCTGCTATCAATGCTTTTGGTTCTTAAAATTTTATAAAAAACACTGCTCTTTATATGTTTATGTTATATGTTACTGAGTGGTCAGAAACTATGAATCTAAATTTGGGGGCCTGTGGTTTTTAAAATTAAATTACATTTAATTTTGAAGCACATTGTTTATTCACATACTGTAGTTTAAAAAATACCTCCGGAAAGGTATAGAATACCAAGTGTTCCTCCTAGAGAGTAGACCAATGGATGCCTAAGGCTGGTGGGAGTAGGGATTGACTACAAATAGGCACAAAACTTTTAGGGGTGATAGAAATGGTCTAAATCTGGATGGTGGTAAAATCTGGATGCATAACTATAAATTTACTAAAACCATTGAATGGTATATTTACAATGGTATATAAATTTTATCTCAATACAACTGCCAAAACAGTGGAAGGGGGTCCTCCAATTCCTGTCCCCAGCCATCAGGAACACTACCTAGAGGCAGCTAGCGTTAATCAGGCTTTAGAATTTTATTCTAGGGATCTCATCTATCATATATAACATATTATCTATGTCTTTATCCTCCCTTTTTTTTTTTTTACACAAATGGCTGTATACTTTATACTTGTTCTGTGCCTTGTTTTTTCACTTCACTTATTTTGGAGTTCTTTTCATATTAGTTACATATAGAACTACTTCTTTTTCCTTTTCTTTACTTTTTTAATGGCGTCATATCATTAAACTGCATAGTTATATCATGATATATTTAACTAGTTCAGTGATTCCCAAAGTGGGCGCTACCGCCCCCTGGTGGGCGCTGCAGCGATCCAGGGAGGCGGTGATGGCCACAGGTGCATTTGCTTTAACTTTTTTTGTATTACCTTTCTATTCTGAGTTCAATAAATAGTTTCATAATTTCAAACTTCAATGTTTCTAATTTACACCTTTCTTTACTATATTTTACGAAAAAGGTAGAAACATTAATACATATATCTTTCTGTTTAATTGCTATTAAAATAAAAAAAAAATTAATTTCCAGGGGGCACTGAGTAATATTTTTTCTGGAAAGGGGGCGGTAGGCCAAATAAGTTTGGGAACCACTAAACTAGTTCCTAACTTTTGCTACTACAAATAAAACTAAAATAAATAAATTTGCACATATCATTTTGCTCATGCAAAATATACCTAGAGACATTCCTGGGAGTAGAACTCCTGGGTTAGAGTACTTTTATAATTTTCACAGATATGACCAATTGTCCCTCCAAAGAGTGGTTCCAATTTGCACGCACATCTGCCATGTAGGAGACGGCTTATTTTTATATGTCAATGCCAACAGTTTATAATCATAGAGAGCAGGGCACTGGGAACAAACTTGTGACTTAACAGTTACATTGAGGATACAAGTTTTAGCTGCCCAACTTAATTCAAGAAATTTTAAAATCAAATGTAAATATAAGCTATTCCTTTAATTTTAAAATCAAGGTATAATTCATTCAGATATTGTAGGGTGAGTAAGTGCAGTGTGGTATATAGCTGATCCTTGAACAACACAAGGTTGAACTGTGTATGTTCACTTATAGATTATTTTATTTTCAATAAATACCTGTACTGTTTTTGATATGCAGTTGGGAGTAGGCAGATGTGGAGGGATCAACTGTATGCATTGATATATACCATTTTACATAGGGGAGTAGAACATCCATGGATTTGGTATCCACAACAGTGAGGGCGGGGGAGGGTTGTCCTGGAACCAATCCCTCACAAATACCGAGGGACAACTTAAGTTTTGAAGATGTCAAACTTATATGTGGATTTATTTTACCATGCAGGAGTTAGAGCCTCTAACATCTGCGTTGTTCAAGGATCAACTGTACTTATGCAATGGAATACTATTCATAAACTAAAATGAATGTATTAGAGTTACATGTATCAACATGAATTTCAAAAACATATTAAAGAAGCAAGTTGCAGAAAGATACATGCAAAACGATACATTTTGAAGTTTAAAACATATTATATAATACACTGTTTAAAGCTGTTACATATACAGTAATGATATAAAATAATCAAGTGAATGATAAACACCAAATTCAGAACAGTGACTACCTAATGAGGAAAGGGAGGGATAAAAAGAGGAATGGGACTGAGGACTGACAATGAGTTTCAATTGTATCTGTACTGTTTTATTTCTTAAAAAATCAAAATGAAAAGTGGCAAGAATACTAAGTCTTGATGAAACTTGATGGTACATACACAGATAATACATTTTATATCCTCTATATTTCCATAGGCATAAAGTATTTTATAATATAAATTTAAGAATAAATTAGTCAGTTCATAGAAGAAATCCAATGAAAAAGGCAATCTATATATTACACTTAAGTTACTCTGGGGCATGCAAGTTTTAAAGTTTAAAAACAGAACAACAATACCTTTTCGATAGTCATGAGATTTGAAGATACCAGAGATTCCACCAATCCTTACACCTCGGTATTTTACTACACCTGCCAAACCTGAGAAATTAAGTTAAATAAAATTACTATAGGCAAAAGCCATCTCTTTACTAACGAACTGAACAGTTTCCAGGCCTAAAATTCCATGCAGTCCTAAAATTATTTGAAAATAAAGTACCTTGATAAGGTTACTCTTTTACATAGTAATATGCCAACAATATATAAGGTAGACTAGGGAAGAGAGGCCTAGAAGCAGATCAGTCAAGAGACTAAGCAGATAGAAAAAAAACAAATGAAATAGGATGTGCTTAGAGGGAAATAGACATAATTTGGTACCGAAAGGAATATGAGGGTGTGGTGTGGGAAAAGGCAAAAGTGTCCTATGATGGATTTATATGTCATATATCTGAAAGTCAGCACAAATAAGGTATAAAGAACCTGCAGTTTCTATATTTCATTTCTAAACTGACCATCTTCAAAAAATTTCACTTTTCCATAATGTTGCACTTGTCAAAAGCTGATCAATCAGTAATGAACCAGAGAAATTATATTTCTGTAGTTTTCAGAAACACCTATAAACATTTTAGTAAAGAGAAAAAAGGACTGTAGAGTTTAAAGGGGCTAACATTGAACCCAAATCTAACCAGGTCTGTAAATCTAAATGCAGATTACAGGCAATGCAGAGGATAAAAGGGACATGTTAAACTACTCAGTGAATTCCAATAGCTAAATCCACAATGCAGGAAATTCTACAAGAAAATTTCCCATTTTCTTCAACAAATAAATGGCATGGGGGTAGGAAGGAGAGAGATGAAAGGAACAGCTAGAGACTTTAGCATCATGACAATGAAATGCATGGACCTTGTTTGAGTCCTATTGAACAAGTCAATTATAAAACAGACATCTCTGTGATAATCAGGGAAATCTAAACATGAACTAGGCAACAGAGAATAGGAATTACTGTTACTTTAGCTAGGTATAACAATGGCACTGTAGTTGTGGGTATTTTTTAAAATCCTTATCACTTAAAAAAATATGTACTGTTTACAGGTGAAATAATCTCATGACTCAAATTTGCTTTAAAATAACTCCAGTCACTTCTCCCACCAAAAAAGTTTAGGGGAGGATGGGTTGAAATAAAGATGGCAGAATAATTGTGGTTGAAACTAGTTAATAGGTATGGAGATTCATTATACAGATATCCCCAGCTTTTCCAAAGTTTGTGTTACACAATTTCACTTTTATGAAAGACCTACAGAACTGGAGCCTTTTTCTCTCCAGAATGCCTGTTTTCACTAACTCAGTGATTCCCAAAGTGGGCGCTACAGCCCCCTGGTGGGCGCTGCAGCCAAAATAGCTTCAGCATTTGTTTTGTAGCCTGCATCCAGAGCAGGGACAGTGGCCCCACCAAGCCCCTCCCCCAGGAACTACAATTTCCAGGGGGCGCTGAGTAATATTTTTTCTGGAAAGGGGGCGGTAGGCCAAATAAGTTTGGGAACCACTGCACTAACTGAAAGAAACCCAAAGAGGATTTTTGCTTTAATGAAAATAGGTGAAAAGCCAAAATAGCTTCAGCATTTGTTTTGTAGCCTGCATCCAGAGCAGGGACAGTGGCCCCACCAAGCCCCTTCCCCAGGAACTACACTCAGCATTAAGCCACCATAGCTTTGAACTGTGTCTGAGCATCTGTGCTTTATCTCGATTTATTTTGTGCATCTATTTGCTAGATGTGTCCGAAGGTAGCACAAAAGCCTAACAGAGTTTGTAAAAGAGTTATACTTAGCAAAAAACTGGATGTCATCAAACCTATTGGTATGATTTAGTAGGTTATTTTCTGGGTCTGGGAATACTCAAAATTTTTGCATGTAAATTAATGGTAATTGGTAGGACCCTGGCCCGTTAGCTCAGTTGGTTAGAGCATTGGCCCGATAAGCCAAGTTTGCAGGTTTAATCCCCAGTCGGGGCACATACAAGAATTAACTAATGAATGCATAAATAAGTAAAACAAGAAACCTCTTTCTCTCTTCCTCTCTCTCTAAAATCAATAACTAAAAAATAAAATAAAATTTGCCCTAACTGGTTTGGCTCAGTGAATAGAGCATCAGCCTGCGGACTGAAAGGTCCCAGGTTCGATTCCGGCCAAGGGCATGTACCTTGGTTGCAGGCACATCCCCAATAGGAGTTGTGCAAGAGGCAGCTGATCAATGTTTCTCTCTCACCGATGTTTCTAACTCTCTATCCCCTCTCCCTTTTTCTCTGTAAAAAAAATCAATAAAATATATAAAAATTTAAAAAATAACAAATAAATAAATAAATAAAATGACTTATTTTTTTTCAAATAAATAAAATTTTCTAATGTTACCACAGCATTGGTGATTTTTAAATTACTGGTAATTGCTTATTTGCTTTACACCATTTCCCCTTATGAAAGTGTTCATAGGAATGCTCTACATTCCAATACTGAGGAAAACCCGTACTATTCTCTAGTTTTGTGTATGTTTAACAATTTCCAATATAAAAAGTTTACTTTTTTTTCATTTAATAAAAAGAGTGGGGGAAAATAAAGGAATTACAAGTAGTGTGTAAGTTCTTTGCAGTTTTATTATCTATTGCTTGAAACACTAGATGAAGCATGGACATATTTTCATGATGACCTATTCAAATTAAGAGACATTCCCAAAACACCATCTATCTGAAGACGCCGCCCAACTGGTATAGAAAGCTTAAAAGGCTCTTCCATCCCCTCAAACCAAGAACTCACCCACAAACACATACCTAAATAATAAATGTTTGGTGCTACCCAGCCACCATAGGGTAACTCTTGCAAATGATTGGAGGCTTCGTGGTTTCCTCCAATGAAGATTGTGAGAACCGGGGCCTTTTTCTCTCCAGAGTAATACCTGGAACGTAAGAGCAAAGCTGTCCGTTGGCACAGAGAAAAGCAATCGGGTGCGCCTACCCAATCAGACCCGGCAGCAGAGCAAAGCAAGGTCTTCAGGAAAAATCTGGGCTCCTCCCTTAAAGTTAAAAGGCACTTTCTAAACACACTGCCTGCCCATCCCCTTGCAGAGTGTATCATTGTCCAACCACTATGCAGTGCACCTGACACTAATACAAAATAATACTTGACGTAAACTGGAATTGGAAAATAAAACAGTGAATGGTTTAAATTGCCCATCCTGGTCCATTTCAGGCCAGTGACGTCAGGAATACGTTCTCAGCTTCTAGAACCGGGATGAGCGCGGAGCAGGCGCCCAATGGAAACTGCAGGATCGCGGCACCAACTAGTCCCGGAATCCCATCGAGTACAAGCAGATGAACCTTTCGGCCTCTCCCTCCAGGTCGGGCCCTCAGGCTGCGACCCCTCCCGAAACAGGTGAGGCAGGTGGACAGTGAGGAGTGACCCTGACCGAGCGCCGGTTCCTGGAGACACACGGCGTGAACCGGGACGGGAACTCAGACAGAGGGGCTCCAACCCCGCCCAGGGTCCCCCCACGGCTGGCGAGTCGCCCCTCCCGCGGGTCCCAGGGCCGCGCCGCGCCGCACCGGTAGAAGGTCTGCATGTGGCGGTACTTGGGGGGCACGGCCATGCAGCGCAGGTCAGCCTCGTTGCGCACCGCCTGGAAGTCGCCGCAGCACAGCAGCAGGTCGATGGGCCCCGCGCCGCGCCGCTCCGCCAGCGCCAGCGTCTCGTAGATCTTGTCCAGCTCCCCGTGGCAGCAGCCGGCCACGGCCACCCGCATCTGCCGGCGCCGAGAGCAGAGCGAGCCCGGTGCGGAGAGCCAAGGAAGGACGGGTCGCTCAGCTCCCGCCAACGTGAACTGAGCCGCCACCTTGTCGCGACGCCTGCAATATATTTCACTTCCGGTTTCAACTCTCGCGAGAGATGGGGCGGAGTTAACGCCAGGATTCCAAAGAGTTTTCGGGAAGGACTCAGGTCTCTAAGTCTTCGCGGTCTGACAGATAATAAAAGTCACAACCACAATACTGAGAAAATAGAAAAAAAGGTCCCCACATAAATAAGTGCGCGGGTGCGATTGGCTAACTAATTAACTAAGTGCCAGGCGGATAATTAATCACTTTAACTACAAACAATCACGCTTAAACTACATAATCTTAGGATAATCTCCTTCAGTTATTTCCTTGTAGCTTAACAGAACAATAGAGTAGTGACTTTGGAATGGAGATAACAAACACCCTAACCTTTGGAATAGAATGGATAGGATTAAAAATCAACAGAACTAGATGGGAGATGGGATTTGTCAAGGGAGGCCCCAAAACATACCATGATGTGATTATAGAGGCATGCATATAGGATCAAATGGTATAAATACAGATGTAACAAGAGAATAAAGACAGAACCTGGCTGGAGAACCTGGCTAGAGAACCCAACTAAGCTGATCAACTGGACGCTGTCTCCGTGTCATTCATTCTTTGCCGACTCCGTCCACATCTTTGGGAACCCCTGGACCTGCTGGGGCTGGACCCCAACACTTCCGTGAGCACCTGGTAGAGCCCGTGATCCAATAGGACAATCTCTGCCTCTCCGGTGTCCGGGCCCTTGCGCACCAGCACGCTGCCCGGGTGGGGGTCGCAGTGCATGAAGCTGTTGACAAAGATCATTTCACTGTATATGTATCTTGCCCAGGTGGCGCGAGATCTCGTTGACATCAGTCTTGTTCCTCTCCATGTAGTCTCTGTCGTTGACCTGCCCACCATCTAAAACTCCATCAGAAGGACCCGCTTGGTGGACAGCTCCCAGTAGATTTGGGGAACCTTTAAGAAGTCAAAGTGCTTGAGCATTTGGGCCACTTTCTCTGCGTTCCTCCCTTCATTGAGGAAATCTAGCTCCAAAGGCAGGTTCTTCTTGGCTTCATCCACAGCCACATGAATTCAAACGCTGGAAACAAGGTGTCTGAATTAGGTTTTGCAAATGAGAAATACTTTTGTAAGATGTTAAACAACAACAAAAATTAGTTTCCAAGGCTGAAAGTCATTTTAAAAGAAAGGGTTTATTAGGCCATTGCTAGAAAAAAAATTCATCTTGGAGCATCAGGTCTAAACTACCCATAACATGGTTAGGCAGGAAAGACATGTCTTTTGTCCCAGAATTTTGCAAGTGCTTTAATATATGAAGTAGGGGCAGAAAGATGTAAGGCTTTCTGAAAGGATTTACATTAGCTATAGACTAAAGGGATGGGAGAAAGTGCAGTGGAGCTAGTTCTGGGATAGGTGCCTCAGGGTCCTCAAAGAAGTGTCCACGCCTGTGGATCCACTGTGGGCAGCAGATTGGAAAGGTCATTGTAAATAAGAAGCGAGAGCTCCTGGGATTACAGGAATTGTCAGAGCTGGTCCACCGCTATTAACAGGCTAACTATGCACTCTCAGGCAACTGTGTGTTGTTGGTTTTTACTCTCAGGCAACTGTGTGTTGTTGTTTCGTAATTTAGAATATCTCATATTTTTTTTCTCGCCAGAGCGTAGAAGGTAGAAGAAAGATTTCTTTTCTCTTCTGGCTTTGGCAATGATTGTGGCAGCCCAGCATCCCAGGCTCCCTCAGTGGTGTGAACTTCCTGTTTTTCCTGATCTCAAGTAAAATTCTCCCTCCCTCTTTACATCTTTAGTTCTTCCAACAATTTTCTAATCTTTTTGCTCAAAATACCTAGAATGTGTTCTGTTTTCCTGTATGTTGTATTAGCCAAGATATGTTCAAGAAAAAGTGAACAAGCAGATGTTTTCAACCATTAAAAAAAAAAAAAAATCAAGGGATACAATACCCACGGGCCATTTTTGAAAAGAAAAAAAAAAAGACTTGACAGTAAAATCAAGTCAAACAAGAGCTGGAGAAAAATAAAGGACACAGAAAGGAAGAACTGTGTTTAAAAGATAGATGATTAAAAATAGCGCAGATTAAGTGGGTAGGAAATGTCATAGTTCGGGTAGTAGGGTACTTAATGAATAAATATAGATGGTTCTGGAAGACCATTATGATATGGTGACATATTGAGCAGAAACCTCCATGAATAAGGGAGTGAGCTATGGAGATTTCTGGGCAATGAGTTTGCAAGTGAGTGTATAAAATGTTACAAACATCAGGAAAAACATCCATTCTTGCTATCCGCATCTTATAGTAATTGAACTTGGTGATTATGACACCTACCACCACCAGATGGCAGCACACTGGGGAAAACTCTGGAGAGAGCCCGCCTGAGGTGATTGAACTGAACAGAGGCAAACATCATAGAAGGATAAAAAGAGTTCTGTGTAGTGTCTCTAGCCTCTGAATCTTAAACTTGTCAGACATTTCATTGGACTTTCTAATTTCATCAGAAAACATACACACAGACACAGACACACAATATCTCTCCTTTATAAGTTTTATGACTTCCAGATTCCAGTCTTGAATTGAAAAGGGTGAAACGATCAGATTTAAACTGCATAAATTATCTTTGCTTCTCCTTTGTGAAACACACCTACCTACAGATTCTGCTTTTCTACATGAAGTAAGGAAGTCTTCTCTACTCTGTGCACAAGTACAATTCAGGATGATAGGGAGTTCTAAGAATCCCGGAGAAAACCTCAACCAGGTTATACAGGATGCAAATGGAAAATAAATGCTCCAACCTCAAGATGGATACCCAGGGGGCCATTCTGCAAGTTTCTCAGAGGTCTTGAAGAAATAAGCATGACTTTAATAATGGATGCTTATATTGACTTTTTCTTCTTTCTTTTCTCACTCTCCCTGACCCATCAATTCTGTTCCTTGGAAACTTTTCTCAAATAAACTGTCAGTATCCAAATCATTGTCCCAAGACCTGCCTTTTGGGGCACCTAAACTAAGCCAAAAAATGCATTCAGTAAACATTTACTGAGTATCCTAAGGTACACAGTGAGACAAGATACATAGAAGATAAAATTCCTAGTGCCTGCCATAATGTGTATAAAGAGGAAACCAACAAATAAACAATGATTACAATATATTGTTAGAAATGCTGTGTTATTGGCAAAAACAGAGTGATGAAGGAGGACATGAGGGAGGGGTCACGTAATCTAAACTTGGGGGAAGGGCTTCCTGGAGGATGTATGGCTTGAACTAATAGATAAAGTGTGGATCAAACACAGCTATAACAACTCTATACCATGCAAATATCAACTGAAAAATCAACTGATACCCCTGTATGAGCTGTGTAGTGGTTATGTTTTGTGCTGTTGAGTATGCAATACATGACACGATTTTAGGTAATACGTGGATGGACTTTTAAACTTTGTAGTTATGTTAATGCGTACTAGAATAAAAATAAAGAGTACAATAAACTTGATTTTACAGAGTATTATGGTTTAGGATGAGGCTAAAATTATTTAATGATTTGAAATTAGTTTTAGAAAGATATTGAGTGAATAATAATACCTGGGTGCAGATTGGCAAAGATCGTGGGAATGGTATGCAGATTACTAAAGTTTGAGAAATAGTGTTGTCGCGGAAGGAAAATCTAAGACAAAATTCCTGCTTTCCAGAAACTCAACAGTTTGTTAGGGACACATAGACCCATAAGCAAGGATGATTAATGCGACAATAAATTTAGAGAGTGGCTTATAGAAATGAAAGAACAAGTAACGGAACAGGCTCATTGTAACCATCCTGTGAACACCTTTCTGGTTACCAGCAGCACGAAGGTGAAACCTGTCCGACCAAGTCCGGGACACACACACACACACACACACACACACGCACACACACACGCACACACACACACGCATACACACACATGCACGCACACACACACGAAGTGGGAGAGGTGAGTTCATCAATCAGAAACACTGTAGTTTGAAGCATATTTTTCATTTGGCTTCAGTTATCAGAGCATTTCAGTGTGAATTATTCAGATACTTGTCGCCATTTTTTCCTACTGGACCCAGAGGCTGGAGAAATGCTAACATATATAACGCTTTCTACATTCCAGGCATGTTTTAAGAGCTTTACATTCTCCATCCTCATAACCCTTTTTTAAGTCAGAGAAAGCTGACTTAAAGGAGGTTAAGTAACTTGCCCGGGTAATGCAGCCGGTAAATGAAGCAGCAAGGATTAAACCCAGGCGTTCTGACTCGAGTATCTCTTAACACAGCGCCGGCATCGGTGGGTAAGGCAAGACCGTGCTAACGCCGGTCACACTTCAGCGCCGGATTGTGAAACTTACTGGGTGGCTGAAGGCCAAGTGCTGAGATCACGGTTTCTCCACCTGTAACATAGAGGTACCGACGCTACAAGTTTGGTGCAAAGAAGGGGTGCGATAAATGTGCAAGTTTGGTGCAAAGAAGGAGCGAGATAAATGTGCTTCAAATTATAGACGTGGGTTCACACACTAGTGCTTAGGGATATGTATACGCGACTCATTCCGACCAATCGGTCCGCGAGGCTAGTAGCGGCGCAGCGAGACCCCGCCCCCGAGGCTCCGCCCCCCGCGCGCGGCAGGTGGGGCCCGCAGCTGCTCTGTGCGCATGCGCGGACTGCCGTCCGCTCCCACCTCTAACCCAGGCTGAGAGTAGCTGCCGTTTCCCAGCGGACGATTCGTAAGGAGGCCCCCCGTGCGGTATCCCTTTGTCCTTCCTTCTGCGGGCCCTGGCCTCCTCCCGCCGTGTCTGGAGCGTGGTCCGTTCTCGCCTACCTGCCTGGTTCCGCTTAGGTACCTGTGGTTGGCCCGACACTTGGCTGTCGAAAGTGCCGGCCCCCGCGCCGGCGTCCGCTGCAGCCGGGTGGGAAGGCTCAAGATGGCGTGCCTGTTGGAGACCCCAATCCGCATGAGCGTCCTCTCGGTGAGTGACCCGCCGCCGCCGCCAGCCTGGGAGCTCGGGCCCGGCGCGCAGCGTTCACCCCAAATGCCGTGCGCCTCTGGAGCACCACCCCCTGGGGTCACCCCCGACTCTGCTTTGGGCGGGGGAGTGAGGGAGGGTAGGCGGGTGTGCTAGACGGAACCCAGGCCGAGCCAGAGACGCCTCCAACTCCCGGAGCTCCCACCGGTGCAGGTTCTCCGGACGGCATCCAGCGGGCGGGGTGGCGGGGTGGGCGGGCGCGGTTCGGGGTTTGCCAGCGCTTCCCTGAGCGATGCCGCCTCCCCGAGGCCCCCCGGGGGCTCTGCCCTGGGAGCGCGGGGCGTGCCGGCGGCCGGGGAAGGAGCGCCCACCCTGCCCCCGCGGCTTAGGCGAGGAGGGGGGTGCGGGCCTCTTGCCCTCCACACCCTCAGAGCTGCCAAGCCAGGTCTGTGCGGCTTCTGGGGAGCTCGCTGCTTGGCAGTGGGGGTTTCCTATCAGTTGCAACGTCTGGTGGGTGTAGTTACTTCAGCCCCTTTTCTCCGCTCGGGAGGGTGCAGCCCTGAGTCTGAAGGAACGGACCTTGTGCCTGGCATTTCTTTTTTCCTTGGACTCAGATCTTGAAAAAGAAGGAAGATCCAATTTTCCTATTACTGAAAGAAGGGAACCTATTGACATGCCAGGAAGTAATACCTGGTGGTGGTGGTGGTGGTGGTGGTGGTGGTTTTAAGCTTAAACAAAACAGGGCTTTCCATGTGTTGTTGCTCGTGAGAGATCCGGGGCCAGAGGTGACAGTTACTGGGCGATAACTTCAAAGGGTTTTGCAGCAAATGAGACCCGTCTAATTGGGAAGGGACCGTTTATCGGTGGTCCAGGTGCCGTCCCTGGAAACAAGCCGGTGTGCGCTGGTGGACCACCTTTCCGACTGGCTGGGGGGGTCAGTCTGACACTGAGAGGGTAGGTGGATTATAGATGGCTTCTCAGGTGCCTAGAGTCTGCGACTCCAACCGGTTTCTTTTCTCTCCCCCGACTTCTCCCGCCAACACACTCAGCTCTCCCGAGGCACCTAGGACATTTGCTTACGATTCAGGGTTAGAGCACTTTGGCGTCCTGCAACCTTGGTCACTTAATTTGGGGCTGTCCTACACAAGTTTCTCCCCTAATCCGTTTTAGTAGTCCTTTTTCTTATTTTAAAACGGCAACTGGGAAATAACTGTTCGCCTAAGTATTGAATCAGGTTAGCTCATTACTCCACCTTTGACTGGAATATCCAGGAAGTGTTTTGTGGGAGAGCAGGCCAGTGGCTTTCCCCTCATGTTTGTAAGAAAGTATGTGTCTACACTGTTCTCAATTCCCTTTTATTATCTCCTTTGTCTTTCATTTCACCCAAAACTTCTTCACTTTTTGTACATTGCCGACTTGTATAGTGCATGCAATTGAAATTTTTTATTTCACTCCCTCAGTAAATCGTTCCTGATTAATTTTATTCAAAAACTTCTTGAAGAATGTTCCCTACTTCTTGTGGGGATTTGCTTTAGTCCTAGTCTCACTGGGGGCTTTAAAAATAAAACAAAAATTTTTTTTCACAATCTCAAAGTTTGGTTTCTCTGGCCCAGTACTTTGCTGTCAAAAGTGCTGCTTTCCCCTCCCCCCACACTTTCTTAGAGCCTTGGGAAATCAGATCTTTAGATAAATGACTTAAACTGTCTAAACTCACTGATGATACTCAAGTGAAGATTGTTCCTTTCAAAGTACTACCTAGGACACCACCTTTTGAAATAAGGTAGAACAGGAAATATTAATCAGAAAGTATCTTTAAAATGATTGATTCCCTTAATAGGCTACTTATTCTGCACCTGTAATATATACTTGAGAGAGTGCAAGGATGAGAGCAGACATGCCCTTAGGGAGTTCAGTCTGAATGACTCTGTAGCTTCATAAACATAATTCAAGCAAGGGGCAAATCAAATGGTTTTAAAGGATTTTTATTAAGGCCTTTTTTACCTTCTCCCCTTTGAGAGACCTTATTCACTCTTGTAACCTTAACTCTAATCAGCTCATACCATATACATTGCCAGCCTTGACTTTTCTCCATCTGGTCTCACATCGTCAATTGTGTGGATGTGATCCATCACTTCCAACTAAGCACATTCCATCTCCTAAGAAGACTTGGTCATGATTTCCCATTTCTATTAATGATACTATCTTTAACTGATCACTCACTATAAACCCCTTGAATTATCTCAGACTCTTTCCCCTTTCATGCCCCTATATCTAATTAGTTCTTAAGTTTTGTTGGCTCTTTATTCTTAGTGTTTCTCACATCTGTCTGTGCCCATGGTCACACTTTCATTTTGTGCCTGCATTACTACAGTGTTCTCTCGAATATTTTTACTGTCTGTATTGTCTTACCCTCTCAGTTCAAGTTCATTCTCCACATTAAGTTTTTTATAGAACACATTGGATATGCCACATCCCTGCTTCAATTTTTTAGTGGATTTAATATATATATATATATATATATATATATATATATATATAAATATATATAAATATAAATATAAATATATATATATGCTAGTATATATATATAGATATCAGAGAGGAAGGGAGAGGGAGAGAGACAGAAACATCAATGATGAGAGAGAATCATTGATTGGCTGCCTCCTGCACACCCCACACTGGGGACCAAGCCCACAACCTGGGCATATGCCCTGACCAGGAATTGAACTGTAACTTCCTGGTTCATAAGTCAGCACTCAACCACTGAGCCATGTCAGCCGGGCTTTGTTTGGTTTTTATTGCCGAAGGGCTGACATTTCATTTTCAGCTTTGGGTATAAGATTGTTTATCCTTCTATGTGAACTTTCTATGCCATATAAACTGGCTTTCTCAAGTTGAAGTTATCTAGGGTTCTTCTAAACCCTAGTAACTTATTGTCTGCCTGATCGTTTGTACAGATGAATTAATAGCTTTGTATAGATTTATTCATGTGATATACTTTGAGCTTTTGTCATTTTCCAGGCATGGTTGTTGGGTTTGGAAATACAGTGGTGAGCTACACAGATCTGTCGCTGCCCTTTTGGAGATTTTAATCTAATGGGGGAAATAGTTATCAAGTCATCACACACAGTTCTTTGTGAATGGCTTTTAGTGTTATGGATGAAAAATATAGGGCACTGTTACAGCATGTAGTAGGGAAATTGATCTAATGTGGAGGGCAGTGAGGAGAGTTAGGGAGGGTCTCCTTGAAAAAATGACAATGAGCTGAGTTCAAAGATGGGTAAGAACAAACTAGGAAAATAGAAGAACATTCCAGGCAAAGGGAACTGCTTTTGCAGAAGCCCTGTGCCTTTAATAGTTAGTCTATCTTATCTTCTTAGTAAATTAATTTCTTGTTCTTAATCCCAGTACTGTTTCCAGTACTATCTTGCATATACTAGGTACTCAATAAATGTTTGAACTATTTGTTTTGGGGAATTGAACAAACACTTCAGCTCTTTCTAGGCTACACCATGATCACCCATAACGCTCTTTGGTTTTCACTTAGCATTACGTCACCCTTTTCAACAAATTTAAAAATTCTCTCGTTTCGCAAACTTTTGGATGATTTAACATTGCATTTTTAAAACTTTATTTTGAAAATATTATGTATTCACGGTAAGTTGCAAAGATAGTACAGAGAGATTCCTGTGTACAGATTACCCAGTTTCCCCCATTGGTTACATTTAGCCAGGAAATTGATATTGGTATGTGTACAGGTTTTTATCATTTTATCACATGCGCATATTTGTGTAATCACCACCACAGCCAAGATACAGAATTAGTCTTAAAATCACAGAGCTCTTCCCTATGCAACCTCTTTGTAGTCACACCTATCTACTCCCTCTCCCCCACTATCTAACCCCTGGCAACCCCTAGTTTATGTCTATAAGGTTGTCATTTTTTGTAATGTTACGTAAATGGAGTCATACAGTATGTGACCTTTTGAGATTGACTTTGTCACTCAACACAGTACCCTTGAGATCCACCCAAGTTGTTGTGTGTATCAATAGTTTGTTCCTTTTTATTGCTAAGTAGTACTTCTTAGTATGGATATATCATGATTTGTTTAATCATTTACCTGTTAGACCTTTGTAGAGTAAATTTTGATAATTTTTTTTCTTTTGTAATGTAAGTGCCTGACTTAAGCTTTGATTGCTAAGGCATCCATTTCAAAGGTATCCACTTCAAGGATGCCTATCTTCTATCTATATATATAAAAGGCTAATATGCAAAGTGTCCCCTTGGGAGTTCGACCAGGAGTTTGTTCGCTCGCTATGATGTGTGCTGACCATCAGGCGGCGGCGCAGAACGAAGGAAGGCCCTGGCCAGCAGCCAGAAGGCCCTGATCAGCCTTGATCGCTGGCCAGGCCTAGGGACCCTACCCATTCACAAATTTTATGCACTGGGCCTCTAGTTTCCAATAAACATTGTTAGCTGCAGGACTAGATAAAGAGCCAGACCAAGTCCCTCCACTGAGTGCCTTTATTTTAGATATTTTAGTTGATTTCAGTAACCAAACCTTTGAGTCGCTTGTTTTTATTCTTTTCAAGCTTTAAATTCTGGTTTTTGTATTTTAAATTCATGAATAAAGAGTGAGCCAATGAAACCCTAGGCTCACTCCAATAAACCCTAGCCTCAGCTCCAATAAAAGCAGAACCCCAGGCCCATGTGCATGTGTGCTTCCCACCCCCATCTCATGATCTTGCAAGTAATGAACCCTTATTTAGTTTTCTGATGGTTATTGCTGAAGGGCATCTTGCAACCATAATAAAACATAACTTTTGGTATCCCTGAGATAAATGTCCAAGAGTGCAATTGCTACATTGTATGATTTAGTTCTTAAGGAAACCAACCAACTTTTTTAGAGTGGCTCTACCATTTTATATTCCCACCCATAATGTCTGAGAGATCCAGTTTCTCTGCACCCTCATAAGCATTTGATATTGTCATTATTTTTAAAAAA